TTTAAATTGTTTTTCTTCTTACGCTAAATGCCAGAGTGCAGTGTGGTATTGTAATGCAATGATGACTAGATTTTTATGGTTTTGCGATCTTTTGATTTTACTTTCAGCATTTAGCAGCAATGCTAATGTAATGAAATTACGGAACCTGCCTGGTACTTGTTATTCCCACCAGAAAAAAATGCAAAACCGCTTTGCAACCATTCATATTTCATTGCGCTTTTGATAATTGTCTACTATTCTAAATGCCGATGTTTTAAAGCCAGGTTTTCATCCCTTTAAGAGGCAAATAAACAAACACATCCATACAAGATCCAACTAAATAGATTCCCCCACCATCGCCGTTCGAAATATTATCCATCACTTTACTGTTTAAAAGCGTTGGACAGCCAGTAGAATAAATACCACCACCGTTTTGGAATGCCGAGTTTGAAGCGACTTTTATATCCGACAAATTTGGGTTGCCGGATGCTATGTAGATCCCGCCACCATTAGTATTTATAATCGAGTTGCCATTTACCGAAAATGCTGCACCTCCATCTGCCCTTCCACCTGCAATATCCATTCAACTTAAGCGAGCTGTCGATATTGGATCCTGAAATCACTACAACATGCAAGCTCGAAGTTGCAGTGCCGCTGAGAATGGTGGGATACAAGTTCCGGTCACGCACACCGCCACCTGAAGCGTAGCCACCTATTACAGCAAGGCTATTGCGGGTAAAGGTGAATGACTTAGTGCGATTGGTAGTTCCATTGCCTGCCATGTGTTCCGGATAGTAGGTGCCTTTTGCTACCACAATAGTATCAATGGCCGTACAGCTTTCATGCGCCAGTTTTACGGCTTCTGCATTCTCTGATCAAAATGAAACAGGCAACGGCCAGTCTTGTCAAACATACCTCTCGGATATTGCCAGGCATAGCCGTACATCTCAAAAGGAAGATCATTGGTACGGTTGCTGATTACTTTATTGGTTTGGGTATTGAGCCTTTTATTGCCTAACATAGCCCAATAGGTATCCTGTGCCATTGCCTCAGTAAGACAGCCGATACCCGGAATTGTAAGTAGGATTAACTTTTTCATAAGGATTTTAAATAAGGATGAATGTTTCAAGAAGGCATTAGAAGATGAACGGGAAGAGGGTGGAGAATTAATATTAATGCCACTGTGTGGTATGCTGCGTATCATTTGCATTGATTTTTTTGATCACTGTGGCACCCGAAATCGTCAATATGAGGCTGTCACTGCGCTTCAAACGATCACCGTGAGTTTTTTGAACTAATAGTAACAATCAGCTTTCGCCTATCAACTTAAGGTTTGATATCTCTGCTAGGGATGGTTGGCCCTGCTGTAATCCAATAGGATCAGTCCTGGGCAAAATCCTCGAACTGAATTGTAACGATAGTGCCAATATTCGGTTTGCTGTCGATAGTGAGTTTGCCTTTTATTACTTTTATCAGGTCCTTTATGATGGGGTAACCAAATCCATGACCCTGGTTGTTGAGTATGTCATCTTGTTTAGTTTTTCTTTTAGTCGACAGTAACTCGCTCACTTTTTCCACGGGCATGCCCGGCCCTTGATCTACGACACATAATATCCCTAGTTTACCCTCTTGTTGAAAACGGATTACTACCGTGCCTTCTGTTGAATAAACGATTGCATTCAGCGCCAGATTGTACAATATAGTTTGC